GGTTCACAGTCTTACCATCCAGAGACAAGGAATGCTGTTCTCACTGACACCTCTCCAGCCCCGGTTCACAGTCTTACCATCCAGAGACAAGGAATGCTGTTCTCACTGACACCTCTCCAGCCCCGGTTCACAGTCTTACCATCCAGAAACGAGGAATGTTGTTCTCGCTGACACATCATCCATACTCAAGCTCCCTGTCGTCCTTGACCTGCGCGCCCGTCCGTGCATTAACTCTACCCAATTGTCATGGCTGGGGCTTTCAAACACCAGTTAGTCTCTGCTAAGCCCACTCCCTTTGCCCCCCCCCCCCCCCCGCTTTTGCCTTAACTGGCCTTTTGAATTTGCATCTATGTTTCATTTTTCTCACTTCCTAAGCTGACTTTTGTTTCTTAAAGATCAGTGGGAGCGTAAGGTTGTTTATTCCCTGAGTATACCTGTTAGCCTCACCTCATGAGTTTTCAGAAGATAACAAATTGAATTTAAATGAAGAAATCAGGCTGGAGAGATGGATCAGTGGTGAAGAGCACTTGTTGCTCTTGCAGAAGACTGGGGTTCGAGTCCCCGTACCCACATGGCAGTTCTTATCTGTCCATAAGTCCAGTTCCAGGGAGTCCGATGCCCTCTTTTGGCCTCCACAGGCACCAGCCATGCATATGATTCATAGCTGTACATGTGAGTAAAACACTCATCCACATAAAATAAAAGGTAAATGAATCTTTTTAAAATCTGGACATATTATTCATGTGTATAGCTACTATCACAATTTTCATTCTTTTCTAAGTCATCTAAATTATATATTTCTTTTTATATCCAAGTTAATACACTCTTAGAATTTTTATACATTTATTCATGGGGGACGCAGTGCACGTGTGGAGGTCGGAGGATAAGTTTTACAGTCAGTGTCTTCGTCCACCACATGGATCCAGGAGATCAAACTCAGGTCATCAGGCTTGGCAAGCACCACTGCCTGGTGAGTCAGAGAGGATGTGGGCCTCTCAGTTCCTACTTAGCACATTCACTGTTGTATTTAGGAGTCTAAAATGATTTTTAACACTAATGAATACAAGAAAAAAATCGTGTTTTCAAGACTCCATAGTACAGATTATCATGAATCTCTATGAAATTAACTGGATAATCACAGCATTCAAATCTTCTCTGTCTTTTGTTTGTTTAACTTTCCTAAGACTAAATGGTACGCAGAGAGGGTTTGAACTCCTCCACTTTAGCTGTATATAAATACAGAAAAGTGTGTGTTGTTGCTGGGGAGATTGTTCAGTAGACAGAGCACTTGCCATGCAAGTGTGAGGACCAGAGTTCAGACCCCCAGCACCCATGTGAATGCTGGTGGGCGTGGGAGATGGTGGGCAGAATATCTGCCATCTCAGCACTCAGCAGGCAGAGACTGGGAAGTCCCCAGAGCAAGCTGCCTAGCCAGACTAGCCAAATCACTGAGCTCTGGGTTCAACTAAGAGGCCTGACTCCATGGGTAAGGAAGATGATGGAAGAAGACACTCAGTGTCAACCTCTGGCCTCACACACATGTGAGCATCACCCACATATGCATTACACAGCCCACACATGTGCAGATGCAAAATTGGGGTGGGGGGAGAAATATGATCAAAATACCTATTTATTTTTTTATTTATATATAACCACAGAGATTTAAAAATATGACATTCTCAATTTTTAAAATATATGATTAAGAATTGTTTGTTGTATGCATATTCATTTCTATGTTGGCACATAAGATTTTATGTCCATTAAGTGTTCCTCACAGACTACATTTTGCCCATTTGAAGTGGTCTCTTTCACATCTTTAATAGCTTCTGCTTTGAACCCACTTCACTTGGTCTCAACATTGCAATTTCTGCTAGTCTTGCCTCGTGCCATTTATCATAGCCTGTTTCATCTTGGTTTAGGTTGCTCACTCATAAAATATGCATTGCTGAATTTTATTGTTTTGATCTTGCTTTCATTGGTATAATTGAGATTTGTGGTATTATTCCTTCCTTGTATTTTCTCTCTAATAGTTTTCTAAATTTTTTTCTGTCTTTTTCTAATTACTGCATTTTCTTCTCCCTTTTTTCTTTTCTTTTCTTTTCTTTTTTTTTTGTTGTTGTTGTTTTTCAAGACAGGGTTTCTCTTTGCAGTTTTGGTGTCTATCCTAGATCTCACCCTGTAGACCAGGCTAGCCTCGAACTCTGAGTGCCAGGATTAAAGGCATGTGCCACCACCGCCCGGCTCTTCTCTCTTTCTTAAGTTTCCCTTTGTCAGCATTTGAGTTTACGTGACTGCTGTTAGTATGAATTGATGCAACTCTGTGGAGAAAAATTTGGCAGTATCTATTAAAATTACTCTTTGATTAAATTTTTCATATCTAATTATCATAAATACATCCTCCCACATTTGCAAAATCAAATATAAGACTCATTTCTGCATAAATTGTAATGGAAATATTAAAAGAAAAAAGGGAACTTGTTGCAGGGCGCGGTGGTGGCGCACACCTTTAATCCCAGCACTCGGGAAGCAGAGCCAGGAGGATCTCTGTGAGTTCGAGGCCAACCTGGTCTACAGAAGGAGATCCAGGACAGGCACCAAAACTACACAGAGAAACCCTGTCTCGAAAAACAAAATTAAAAAAAGAAAGAAAGAAAAACCACTGGAACTAAATGTCTATTGAGGTATTAAAACTGTATATATTAAGGCATTAAAATTGTGTGGCAGAATAATATACAGCAGTTAAAAAAGATGTAGCAATTCTAGATGTGTTGCAAGACATTTGATTATACTGTGTAAAGATATGTCGCTCTGATTGGTTTAATAAAAAGCTAATAAAATAGCTAGGCAGGATTTCCAGGAACAGAGGACTCTGGGAAGAAGAAGGGTGGAGACATTAGGAGACAAGGAGGAAGCAGGAAAGCAGGATGGACAGTACATAGACAAGGTAAATGAGCCTGGGGCAGCACAGAGATGAATAGAGATGGGTTCATTTAAGTTATAAGAGTGAGTTAGAAACAAGCCTAAGCTATAGGCCAGGCTTTCATAATCAATAATAAGTTTCCGTGTCATGATTTGGGAGCTGGCTGGTGGGACAGAGAAAGACTTGTTACATAGATGTACCAATATTAGGTTGGTTCTGAGATCTATTAGGTAAAATAAAAAAAGAAAAGAAAATATTGAAAACACTGCATTATATCCTGCCATCTACATTTTAAAATCTGCTCCTATGTGTGCATAATTTGGATTCAGTTAGCTAATAGTATTAGCTAATACTATTCTTGCATCTTTGTTAGCGAGTGGTGATTGGTCCATAAACCTCCTTCTTCATGCCTTGTCTGACCAGCTTGGGTGTAAGAAGTGAGCGTTCCTTTCCTTTCTGTTGTCTGGGATGGTTTGTCAAATGATTGCTTTCTGAGAGGCTGGCCAGACTTGTTCAAATGCCACATGCACCTTCTTCCCCTGGAAGACTCCTTGGCCTCAGCAACAAGTCAGTCTCACAACTATGATTTATCACAACAAAGGGGCACAAAGTGAAACCATCAAAGGCTGAAGCACAAAGACAAAAGGTCAGAATCGAGGCACACCTGAGGCGGATGCCTGCCAGGCAGCCCCACAGGATGCTAAGTCCCTGCCTTGGTTATTCTTTTCGCTTCTGTGACAAAATTCCAGGCAAAAAATCAGTGAGATGGGAGGGGTGAAAAAAGGGAGGTAGAGAGGGAGGAAGGACAGACGGATGGAAGGGAAGGCTTATTTAAGAAGGAGTGTAGTCCATCATGATGCGGAGCAGCCGCTGATCATCCACGTTGCAGCAGGAGCCTGAGGCTGCTGGTGCCAGGGTCCACAGCCAGGAAGCATCAAGAGAGACGCATGCCAGTTACTAAGCTTGAGTCCTCATTCTTACTCTG